TTAGACACTCAATATGAGTAAGAACAAAACGTATCCGCAGCGGCTATTGGAAATGTAATTCGCCTCAGTAGACACAGCTCGACTAAATCATATCGACATACGCCTTCCGTGTGCACGCTCGGCAATATACTCAATATTGATGAACTTTGTCGTTCATGCATGAACGTTTTCTGATGTTGAGATACACTATAACGGTATACGGCGTTGCCTGATGTTGGGTGGACGGTGCTTTTCCCCATGGTCCCCCATCCCCCCCCCNTGCTACGTAGATGTGACTTCATTGGTGGGGATAGAAAAAAAGAAGTCCTTCTATTTTAATAACAAAACCTGCTTCAGAAATTACCGTGTATTTTTAGAATGTCAAGACTAAGATTGATTCTTGATTGTTGATGAATGGGAGGGTCAGATAAATTATACATTATTTGGTGTATCGTTCAATGTTGTATACGGTTTTAGTTTTAAAAAATATATACAGATAATTAAACCTTCATCTTCCTTCTGATTAATTGACACTCATCGAGACATACTATTTTTGAAAGTAGAGCGAAACACCCATGCTGCTGTTGCACGTAGTAAAATACCACGCATTACTTAATTTACACCTCTGTGTATACAAAAATATATGTAAATATCTAAAATACCACACTTTAATTAATTGATTAATTAAACTCAGGATTTACCTGTGCATTTATTTCAAACACTGCCAATTGTCGTCACAGGAATGTGGCATTTATCCACAGTTTTTTTGTATTTGCCAATCGTCGACGCGAAAACAGTCTGACTTTTGAAAACGGAAAAAATGTAAATAACAAACCGTGACTCCAGACGCAGAAAGACATGCTATGCATTCCTTTTGGCGCATTTTTCTATTTGGGACGCTGTCATAACTAATAAGAATACAATCGAGAGATATAAATTGCCCCAGGAGTGTAGGGGGTAACTGGTGTATACCTGGATGTGTGTTCTGTCCACTGCTATGATTCATAGCTATTTATTGAATTCGAGTTTGTGTACTTTAACTTTGATTAATTGTTTGGAATTTTAAATTTTTGCCTTTTAGGAATGATTGTGTCGTCTATATTTAGTAAATGTCCCGAAGTCATCGACAGAAAAGGGCAAGCGCGTGGGACATTCTTTAAGTGTTTCTATTCTTTAATGGAGAACACAATTGTTGAAGGTGGTCGTTAATTCAAATTACATCGAATTCATTAAAACAGAGAACAGCTATTTAATATATTGTGTAAAGATCAAAGTTTTGAAAATTTCATAAATTAAGATGAAAAATAAAATCGCACGGTTCACTGACATCAAGTAATACAATTTCTATCCAAAGTCCCGAAGAAAGAGGAACTGTGCCAGTTACATATATAGAAAGTCCATTGGCAATACTTTCTTTACCTCTATTCACATTCGGTACTTCACAAGAACCACAAACAAAAATATCCTAATGTCTTTCAGCGAACTGTTATTTACCACAAACACCTGTGTATTCAAGGAACCGTGACCAGCTCCAAGACTCACCTGTCGGCGATTCTGGGTCTGGGCCTGTACGATAAATCCTTCTATAAACAAAACAATGATCAAAGTCGATTAAAGTATTTGTGTGATTTTATTGCTTCAATCGCTCTGTCTTAGTCCCAATGTCCACACCGATTGTATAATCCCCGGAATAACAGTCGAGGATGGCCGAGTGGATCGCTTACACTACATTCTAAGGCTGTCAATCCCGGGTATTCGTCACATCTGTGTGAAAGCCACAACAATGCTTTGTATAGGGAATGTCCACCCTCGGCTGTTTTCATGACTTGTATATACGAATTTTATTTCCTATTCTGTGACCACCTAGTCCACCTGCCCTGAAGCGAAAGTAAACTACCTATAACAATTACTTTGTGTTTTCTTTTCCAACTTAATCTCATTTGATCTCAGCAAGACTCCAAAACTGACAGTATCACCATTTACGGGTGAGAGACTTGGATAAAACCCAGTAGGTTACCCTGAATGGCTGAAACTGGACCACGATCATCGCCATTGTGCGTGTTATCGATGCCCGAGAGATAACGACTGTCACATTAGGTTCGAGTCGGACAAACTAAATCTGCCGAGTCCGTGGATAATGGTCAGCTAAGTAGACCCCCGTGGGGAGGAAATTGTCGACCCCGGATCTCTCAATGGGGGGTAATTGACCTCTTCGTAAGTGATGACCGTATCGCTTATACATTGTAAAACATCGTTATACTTTGTAAACACGTGTCTTGTTGGGTGTGAGCGCTCTCACTTTCTATTAATTTGTCAAATGTTGGAATGACACAACGACATGATGAGTTTAATTGACACCTGCCTGGAGCCCAAGGGACACACACCTCATCCTTACCCGAGTCTTCCGACTGACATTTCCAATCTCAGCGGCCATCTCATCAAACTTGACATCACATTTAGTCTCTAATTTATTAGATATAGTCACTGGTGTTATCATTTAAGTACTTAGTCTTAACAAAATACTGCGACGTGAGTTTTGATTAATACCTCCCCTTAACATAACGAAATACCGGTTCAATTTTCAATAAAAATAAACATACACGGATCTGGCTGCGGTGTTTGTAATCGAGTGACGGTGTCATTTAGTAAATGTCAGACAGTATTAAGACCGGAGACTGGTGTAGTTATGTAGCGATGGGTTCAATTCCGGACGTCCTACATACAAACACCTCTAAATGTCGGTGACGTCAGCCGCAATCAATGGTACAATGTAATTACGTTACATGTTTGAGCGGATAATTGGCCAATTAATTTTAATTTTACCGTCAAATATCAACAGTTGTGTATTTATATATAATCTTGTATTTCATAGGAAGCACACAGAAAACCTTTCTGTTTTTTATATATAACTACAGATATCGATTTTAATATTTAGTGAGGTGTTTTTTTTGCTTTAAATATCATAAGTCGGTAGACAAATTAGTTCAGACCATAATATCAGCTAGTGTCCCGTGGTAGACCAATATACACATATGATAGCTCGAATTTACAGACATTGGACTGTTGTACAGTCAAGTGTTGTTTTTCCGATTACATTAAATCAGAAAATGAACTTAGGGCTTTCAGATTGGTTGGTAACCATCTCTTCAGAACATACATCTGATTTATGAAACAAAAGTTTGTATTTTGCATAATAGGACTCTGTAAGTTGAACGAATGGATGATAGCAGACTTTGGTAGACAGGTTGGACGGTTTGTAGAAAGAATCCCGCTGGTTTGTTAGGTGGTTCTCGTAGAGCTTTGACTGATGGTAATGACCGACGTCGTTTTTATGAGCAACATTGTCTTGTGATGTTCGAGTTATAAATTGTTCTGTAGAGTTTCCAGGAGCGAGACCAGAACCGGTCCATAGTCTCCAAGTAATCAAAACAAACAGCAACGGCTATAAATGTCACCTGATGCAAACGTAACAAATACGCAGATACATATATGCAAAAGGCTTTGTTGATGGGCTTGTCGGGTAACTTTGACAACCTGGCAGACATCTTGTAGCGACGCCCCTGCTAATTTGGTTCTTGATAGCAATCTCTTGGAACTTTTTTTCTTTGTAAATTCCTGAGATGGACCAGAACGATCTACCTACGTTGAAGTTCTTTGCAGTCTCATCTACTCGGGCACGCGACGTTATCCTCTATCGTCAACATATGTACAAGAGCGTTAGGCTGTCGTGTCACCCGTACTACTTCACTTATACATCTGTCATAGTGTCGTCCTCATTTGCCTGTCATTACACATATGTACTTTTGGCACATACAATATGTAAAAATTATAATTAAGTTTTTTTCTGTAACTTTAAAGTACACCTGACGTTGAAACCAATTAAGAATGAATCCATCATCAGATTTATTAACATTGGTCACATCTACTTAGAACTGTAAAAACGATTTGCCCACAGCCATCCGCCTGCTTTGAGAGGACCTACCTCAGGTGTGTGTGTGCTGGTTTCAATAATGTGAGGCCATTACCGTCATAATGCCAATTTACCTACAGCTAACTTCAGGCTTATCAATTCGCGTTTGAGTTTTTTTCCAGGATTTGATCAAAGTGCATTGCATTAAATCTGAAATATGACTTGTAGGTTTTGAGGCGTTAATGAGGCTTGCAAGACAGGTGATTTACCAGCGTTAAGTCCCCTAGATATATTGGAAATTTAAACGGATATCTACTCTGGATTTGGTCTCCATCTTACCACCTTTTTTTTCTAAATAAAATGAAAAAATAATAAAATTAATGGAAATGCGTTGGTACTGTGCTGTTCGTGCAATCAATGTTATAAAAGTATAATTTCAATGTGATAACAGTCGTTCAGATTCAATTCTCTTTTATTTGTATAACTTTATAGCGATGAATACAAAATTACAGCAATGAAAACCCCCTCGTTTAATATGTGTTTTTTCTGTGATTCGGTTGACAATTTAACCTAGTTGTTGAATTATTTCTTTCATTAAGATGGCATAGTCAGTACAGTTAATATAACTATCCTACCACTTTTTATTGAAGTAGGGAAACAATGCAATTAATACTTATTGAAGTAGTGAACTATAACAATTTTTCTTGATGAAGTAGCTCATGCTTATTAAAGATAGGAATACTATCGTTTCTCGACGTATCGAAGTTATTTAACTTTCAATCAAGATTATCCAGTACTACCGGAAAATGTATTACGGTGCGAATGTCTAAGGAAAAGTTCGCGTCTTTATTACAACAATTCTGCAATTTCCAAACTGACGTAGTGATAAATTCTAACCGTCATAAATTTGAATTTCAGCATTCAAAGGAATAGATCTACGTAGAGCTATTGTCCCCGTTCGCCAAGCTTCTTGCATCATCCTACTGTAGAGAAAAAGAAAACCAAACCAAACAGACAACATGTTGTAGTTAAGATCCTTTTCAGATAGTGTCTTTGAATGTATTTCATTGTCACTGCGTTGCTGATGAATTCAATGTTTCGTATTTTCCAGGTATGGTTTCAGAACAGAAGGTCTAAAGAAAGAAGAATGAAACAATTAAGTGCTCTAGGTGCCCGACGACATTTTTTCCGGAACCCACGACGGATGCGCGCGCTGCGGACGGGAATGTCGCCTAGTGAATTGGACGAGTCAGAAATGATGGGAGGACCCGGATTCGGATATTTCTCAGGTAAGGGTTGATAGTGTTCTATTCGTTACCTTGAGTTTGTTTTCTTTTGTTTTGGCGTCAATTTGGTAATCACGTGAGTAAAAGGGAAATAACTCGGCAAACAAGTCCAGAAATAGGATTACAGATAATAAAATGTTAAAGAAAATCGTGAAGGTTACAATGTGCTGCTGATCGATTTAAATAAACCAATTTGAAATCTATTTTCTAAAGTATATGGCTTTCATAGCGAAAAGTGAAATTAAAAATTATCTAGCACATTTATTGACGTAAGAGGGGTGTTAAATTAACGCCACCTCGCGAAGAAACAAAAAAAGGTAGTTATCTCCCCTACTTGAAGTGACTAGCGTTATACATCCTTGCCTTTACCTATATCTATGTGTTGTCATTTTGAGGTACTCAGATCACACCGCGTAATCAGAGTTAAAACTCTCCAATCTGACATAGTGTTGAGCACTGTCAGATACCTATCCGTGTTGGTGTGATGTATGTTAGGTACTGGTGCTGAAGCTAGCACTCGTGGGATACCTGTAATAGCGCACCTGGCCCTGGGACTTTACCGTCATTACTGATGTAGGCGGTACATGTTTTATGTATGACTCGGGACCTACCATGTTACACGGCCTCACATTCCTTTCGTCAGCTCCGCGCATTAACATTTACAAAACGTAACGTTACAAAGTGGTTACTGGTATTCCAAGAAGAGGAAGCAGGAGAATAAAAAACGACTTTAATGCTAATCTCTCACGAGACAGAATGATTTAAAACAAAGGACAAATTCGCTCTTTAAATAACCACATCGATTATATAGATAGAGTTCTACTGGTATAAACGAAGGAAGTTATAAGATTTCTCTTTTTAAAATAGAAAATGATATACACTCGTATGATTTGCCAAAGGCGCTTGCTACACGGCTGAGTTCCTCACTGGCCACTAGGGGCCACCACCAGCGGGACATTCAGGGTTGCACGCCGGGAAGTAGAAGACAATGTCGAGTTTAAAAAAAAGATGAATAATTTGGGATTCCATCCAGTCTAGAAGAAACCATTTTGTGCCTGTTTTAACGATTTTATATCACGTATTCCGTATCTCATTGGGCCCAGGCAGGACCCAGCAGTAGCGAGGATTACGGGGGATTAGCTTGCCTATGAATTTTAATGTCACTAATCCCGCCCTGGCAGAGCGCGCGGGTCCCAGGGGTATGGCATCTATGGCGTCTGTATACGGGGATTTGGGCGTCTAATGTTGTATTCATCCCCTCTTCCCCCCAGACTGCGACCGTCGTTCTATTCATGTTGTCGGTGGTCGCCCCTGATTTCGTATTCATTCCCCACGCCCTTGGCCTCATTGTGACGTCGTTTTGTAATCCTAGCATGTTCTGTTCGTCGATAGTTCAGTGTTCACCGTTTGTTTAGGTTAAAGGTTTTCGCTTCATCTTGAAATCATGGCATGCTCTTGGTAGATTGTTCAGTGTTCGCCATTTTGTTTCTGGTGTAATCTAATTTGTGGTCATGTCGTGTTTTAGCATCCTTGTATGTTCGCCATTGTTGAATGGTAAAGTTAAAGCGTTCCTCAGACTAAGATGTTCCTAAACTATCATCATTAGCACGCTTTCTCTTATTATCTTAGAGGACATTGATTACTTACAATAGGGTAAACAGTACAGAACGTGTAGCGAGTCGTTACTTGTGCTAAAACATATTTTATACATCAATAAAACCATTGATGTTGAGATTTGTATCTAGTTTTTTTTTAAAAGGGCTTTATTAATATAATTATTATTTTAGGGATTTATTTTAAAGTAAACACGGAATTTTTAATATTTGTATCGATATTATCTGAACGTGGCCATATTGAATCCAAGGACTTTCATATTTTACTTTCAATGATAAAAAAAAACCAGTCAACATCCTAATATACTTTTAACGGTACTGTCAAATAAACAACATGACCTTTCCACATCTTAGTATATTTCTTAATGGTATTGTCAATTGATCACCAAATCCTGTCGATGTCATAATATATTTTTAACGGTATTGTCATATGACCAACAAATTCTTTCCACATTCTAGTGTACTTTTATATAGTATTATCACTTGATTAACAAATCTTGTCACCGATGCGCATACAGTGTTTGCATTGGCGTAATGTAAACATTTGATTTAATGATATTCAAAGGATGGTTGTACTCTGTATAACCAGATACGAACCGTAGACGTATTTAGATATACAATTATAAAATATACATGTTGTATATGATTATTCTAGCCCTAATACGTAGGCAAGTGAAAAGATGTATTTATATATGTATAGAATTTATGTTATCCTTGTAAAGTGTAGTTAGTGTATGTTATATAGAACACAAGTTAGAAAATGGTAGTACTCGGGCGTTATCAATAACATAACACAAACGTTTGTAGTCCTCGGGCGTTATCCATAACATAACACAAACGTTAGTTGTACTCGGGCGTTATCGATAACATAACACAAACGTTAGTAGTCCTCCGGCGTTTTTGTCCCATTAGGTGTTCCTGTAGTTTCTGAATAGGCCAACAGTCTTGTTACTGTTATATTAGTATTAAACTTTGCAAGTTATGTATTAATCTTCTTTTAAACATGTCTTATCGTTCACATTAAGCGCACTAAAATATGAACAAACAACTAGACACAAAAACTAACATGTTCCGGTACTTTTCTTAGAACTGTATTGTGATTCGATCAAACGTTTTCCCGCGGACTCGGAATTCTGTCTGTCACCAAGATGCTCCGCCATTGTCGAGTGTAATGGCCAGGACCAGACTTGAAACAAAAACCTTAGGAACCACGCAGCGTTAGAAACTCTCGTTTATGACACAACATGGTGCGGAGATCGTGAATTTTTTATGACCTCCTGATTGGATAAGCATCACTTTGAAAGCATAACGCGACATAATCGCTTTGAACAAAACACACTGACAAAGAAATGCACGCACATGCATGTTCCCAGAGCACCCATCAATAAGCCGACAGCCATGCACCCGGATTAGACCTTTGTGGATTTGTTTTAAAGTTCCATGCTCCAATGGACCGTTAAACATAAACAATCGTCACTGCACGAGACAGGTGGTTTTATGGTGTACTAAAATATGTCTATAGTAAATCGTTTTACTGGAGTGACTATGAATAACTAGCAGAAGTGTTTATTATTGTCAGGTATTTTATTGATCTTCGAATTCGTCAGTATCAAAACAAGACCCTAGTACGTGACTTGTTTCGATAGTCCAAATGATTTTTGTTCGTGAATATTTTATTATCGCGATTGTTTTTCTCACATCTATTAACTATGAATTTCGGTTCGTGAAAGGAACAATTGATGCTATCATTTTATTGTTTAATTGTGGTTGGTTAAATGATTAACTACAGTTATTTATCCATTGTTTCGTTGTGTCGGATTTTTTTTATGCGAGATAAACATATAATCTCGCGAAACTCTGTTTTAAGTGGACATTTTCGCGGTGCGAGAATGTTCGCGTTTTTAGCATCGAGTAAATAAGCGCGAAAATATCCACACACGAATATTAATGAAAAGATTTTCGAGAAATAGAATATAAAGATTAAAGAACTATTGCCAACGCGAAAATGTACACATCGCGATCAGATTAAAGGTGGCAACGCGCAAATTTCCACACAGCGATCTGTTTAATGGGCACAACGCGCAAATTTCCACTTTTACAGTATAGGCGGTTCCCAGTATCTCGGCATAGCTACAATTAAATTTAATCAGTGATTGGTACAAACAGATATGGTAACAAGATATGAAATACAATTTAATACATGAGGTTGTTTAACTCATTCAACCCTGAAACTTCATAATGAACTATTCCAACCTTTGAATTGGAAGAGTTCAAATATGTCTTCAGTGGTGAAAGAGGTAAACACATTATTGGCAAAGTACTTATTATGATGTAAGATTTGGACAATTTCAAAATCACTTCGAGTTCGCTTTATATCTGAGAATACTGACTGTTCGTGTTTTCAGACGACTTCTGATAGTGACAAATCGGTGTTACAACATATATGTAATAGCTTTAAACTAAATTTTCACCTACCGTTAAAAGGAAAAGAGATTTGCAATTTGAGAGATGTTTATGCTATTTAGGTCGAGGGTTTCCGATTATAAGCATTGCTGTAAATATAACAGTATACCGACATAGCAATGATGATTCTTGGGTATTGACAAGCATAATTTCACATTTCAAATGTATGTTATCTAATATTGAAAATTTGAAACAAATGTCAACAAGGAATGTTCATACTAGATAGCCAAAACATGGATTTACGGATTTAAATAAAAGCAAAATGATAAGTGTTCAACAGTACAACAAATAAGTTGGCAGTAAAGAACATCAAATTAACTCGCAACTAATTGGTGATTGTATAAGGTGTTGGCAATTTAAAGGTTGCTGTGAGTGTTGATAGTAAATTAAGACACGTTTTAAAATTAAATATCTGTGTAGGTCAATAAGTGAGTACCCCACGTCCTACACTGTACCGGGGATGTATTTACCGCAAATATTCACAGGAACACTTCATTCGATGTTTTTAAAACTTGTATAAATTCACCTTTGACCCTGACACAGTGTATTATTTTTCACACGTGTGATTATTTCTACCACCTGTGGACACGTAATCCGAGATCGAACCTTTCATTTTTTTAAACTCTTAAAATTTATCTTCATTCGCTGTTGGAAACCCTACACCTCTAAACAATCGATTCGTATGTAGTCGGAGGCACAAATGGCTCATTTGACGGTGTATCAAAGAATGCCAAACTTTCGTCTCCGGATCCTTCCTGCTCGGATCCGCTCCGGTTTGTATACGCGCCTTGTATACGGTCAGACATTGATAGATGACATGTGTGCGCCTTACCCATGAGTAGAACCCGACTCCACTCCTCACCGCCAACAAGGGGTGCTGACAGACCCGAACAGTTTGTCAATTTTATTACAGTCTACCCTCGACCGTACAAGCCGAGTCAAGGGGCAGTACGCTGTCTATAGGTATAAAGTTATATCCCAGACGGCATATCCCGCACAAAGACGACCAGAGTAAAATACATTATGTGTGGTAGGCCTCGTCACTGCTAGAAACCTGACCACAGATTTAAAGATAAAGACAAAATAGAAAACCAAACGCAAACGGAATAATATTGATTTTCTTTTTTTTCTTTCTTTTTTTCCTATTCGGATTGTTTTCTGTACAGAAAACTCAGAATGGCTTTTCTGTTTAGAAAATGACATATGACGCAGAGCACAGAACACAGAGAGAATGTTTTTTGACAAAACCATTTGCACAATTTTAATACAATATAAAAGTTTGCTATAGCGTTCTGTTGATATAGACAACACACTGCAGTTTATTTACAATGGAGTAATCCTCACATTTCCAAAAAGATAACGCTTTACTCTTAGCATCGGTAGCCTACAGACGTTAGCAACACATAACAGTTAACCTCCAACATTAGCAACAGGCTAATCATTCATACATTTCTAACAAAATGCGCTATTCTAACATCACTTATAATTATGATTTCTATCTTCCCATATTAGCTAAATAAATAAATAAATGTTTTCTGTAACACACTCCTTACAATTTATTTTTTGTACATACAAAATAGCCGGACAATGATTGGTAGGAGAGAGAAGATGGCGTATAGATACACGTACGACAGTCTTTGTTATGAACATCTATATTTGATGAAATGGACATCGTTTACCGTACTTTCTATATACAGGCTAGTGCACGTCCATATCAATCGTCAGGACCAGCCATGCATCAATTATAGCCCGTATTCATTCGTCGTAGCCTCATCTGATATAGGTTGTTTGTAGTCATGCATGTTTAGCTGCCCCACCGAACCCTCAGCAGCCGTCATAATACGCATATATAGACACGACTCGTCACCAGTTTGACAACCACGATAAGATAGGGCGGGGCTGATGAGAGATTACCCTACCGGAAGTTATCGCTCCGCCATCACAAACTAGTCGATCCTTTGAATATCACTCCGCGATGATGGAAACTCGTGATAGCCTAACCACTATCGCCAAAATCTAACACTTCAGTAATCATGTATTCAGGCAAAACAAAAATGGCAAGTAATTGTTATGGCAATATTATAAAAAAAAATGTGATGACAGAGATTGATGGTTATAAAAGCGAAAACTACATATTGATGATTTGAATTTGTATATATTCGCCAAGAGATATGATGAAATTTCATCCAAACAGCACCGTTACCTTAGACATGTTTTGTATTGATTTGGTAAACATTTGAATAAATTATCAAAATAATGGAAATGTTATTAATATTATGATAAATAAACATGAATGTAAGAAAATGGCTGTCTTTTTTTCAATTAAAAATAAATAAAAAATCAATTAAATATTGGCCGACGGTTTTCACAACAAATATTTTCAAGATTTTGAATTTAATTTCATCTTATTTGTTTATATGTTTAAACACTAATATAAGTTTTTCAAAATGAATTCGGTTTTTTTCATATGTCGAACTTTATCTTTTCAGATAATGGACAGGAATTTTACGCTGGCTATCAAGGGTATGGCGACTTTTTTCCCGGACAAGGCGAGCCAGGAGGCCCTGGAAACCTTAGCTTCCTACCACCGTCATCACGGGGCACCCCGCCTCTAAACCTCGACCAGCCTTTACATCATAACGGTACGTACCATTTAAATTTATTTCTCGCACCTTTAATTTAGAATTAAAAGGTAGGTATGGGCTAATGAGGTCAGGGGTTAAACAAATGAGAATACCAAAGTGTCAACGAAACCGTAATTTGAACTCACAATCGATATTCCTATGGCACATTATGAACAAAGGAAAGACTCACACGGAGAGCCTTAACAACTCGAGAAGACCAGGTAATCCGGAAGGGTTAGCGTTTTCTGCTTCATCGAAAACATCCGTCATGTAAATCTAAGTCAAATGCAAGTAATGTCACGTCCTCCTAGCGATGACCGGGGAGCACCGACCTTCACATCACACAGGAAAACATATTTTCAAAATAATGCTTTGATAAAAAAAAAGACTTTTATACTGACAACGAGAGGATGTTTCTGAGATGCTGACAAGTACAATTCTATATATGATTAGGTTACGTATTGATTGTTAAAAAATAGAACAATTGTCAACATTGAAATTTTAAACCAACAAATAACGCATGTACCGAATTAAATAAAAGCTTGACGATTAGTATTATATTGCATCGGATGTAAACAAAACCACAAATTAATTAACAGGAAAGTGGATCAGAATAGAATAAAAAAACACCTAAACAGTCTAATACAGAGAGAAATGGTTAAACATGTAGGATCAAGTACTTGGTATATTGGTTTGTATGTAAAATTGAAAGTACCTATACCAAGTATGGTAGTGTTTCTCGTGCGTAATATCTGACGTTTCAATTTGTCATTGTAGCGTTTGTTTTATTAATGAAATCAGCAAAAAACATGGCCGAGAAACAAATCTGTCTCCGAAACGTACCAGTTACCAAATTATACCATTTCCAAAACGAACAACAACATTAAAAAACAATTTGTTAGGAACCTCATGTTTTTGTTTATACGCGTATCAATAATTAAAGCCTGTAATGGGTGTGATGAACTTTTACAATATTAACGCGTGGGTAGGATAGTCAGGTTTCTAACAAACGAACAATTCCACGAAGCCTCATTGCACATCATCTGATAACACCGGCAGACCGACGTGCATGTCTAAGGCTTCATTATTGTCAGTATTAAACGCCTAAGGGCATTTTCATTAAACATACCGAAACATTTCATTTGCTCCAGGTTTATGTTTAACAGTTCATATTGAAATGTAAATCAGTAAGATATAAATGTTGAAACCGCATTACACATTACCTTATCATATCAGTATGATAACCATAATATCAGTCTCACTTCATTGAGCTATGAACCGCTGCTCCACTATAGCTACTCATTCAATATACTATATTATTTTATTTTTGTTTACGTTATTCCTGCCCAGCAATCCTATTGTACCAGTGTTTAAATCATTCATCACAGAAACAGTGTTTACTAATAAAATAACCATATTTTGTCACGATTTGTTAGACAGAACACAATACTAACTGTTCTGGGAATAGGCCGCTTTTCATTCCGTGTGAAGCATCTTCACATTGACCAGCTGGATGCTGGGTGGTGTTTTACTGTTATGGTCGTCACTAGATATGCCTCATAGGCCATGACGAATGCAGGTGTTGTGATAACAATGTCTGTAAACAACAGGTTAATCATGACTGGTTGATTAACTATGACCATTTTCACCAATAAAACATATGTTTTCCCATACTTGATATCACTCCGTTCATAAAGTATTTCTCCTAGCGGAAACTAGTGGATGTGCCACGCAAAGTTGTGGTCATGAATGTTAAATATAAATCGAATAACTATTGAAAACAATGTTAATGAATTGTGTTCGAGCTTTATTCGTAATGACTTTATCATTAAATAGTGCTCATACAATGAATAAACAAATCCTTGATATTGTACTGAATAAGTACCAAACAAAATGTTTAATACGATTTCATACAGGAAAAAAACCCACACTAAATGTTATATTTTGTGTGTAAATAACATGCGTTTCTTTCCGAACTAATCTCTAATACAAAAGGTACCAGATATTGGATTATATATCTATTTAAGCATTTCTTAATGAATAATCTTTAAATGTCGTTGCTTACATCTAAACAGTACGCGTCAAGATAAACGCACAAATACTGAATAAATATCATAAAAAAGTATAAAGGGGAAAAAAGAAAAAATGGAAGAAAAAAAAACAACAAACAAACAAACAAAAACAACTTCTTTTATGTGAAAATTACAAAATTAATCATATGTTTCGAATAACTAAAACAAAAAGTTTATAAATCGACAAATATTAGATGTCTCATGCTAGTGCTTGGAAATGTGATCTATGAGAAACAAATAGTCACTTAAAGACCCTAATGAAGCAAGAAATAGCATGCACATTGACGAATACATTGGAATTACATTCTTTAATTTTTATTTGTGCGCGCATTGCCAACGATCTGTTTATTTAAGCTAAATAAGGAAATTGGATTTTGGCGCTCGCGTTTGGCTGTCGTCTGCTCGGAATGGTAGAGGGGGTTGGTCTGTGGTGAAAGATAAGGCAGAAGCGTATTGATCGCAAAACAATATTTTCTCCCGAGGTTTGTTCTATTTCCTTTTACAACTATCACGAGATCTTGGAGAATCTCATCAAACCAACCATTTATGGAGAACTGAAGCACGAGCTCGTCTTTAAAATTGGAAAGGGGGCCAAGGAGGGGATTCACGAGAGTAGCAGCATGCTTGTTGAGTTGGGGACGGAGTATATTTGAAAGAACGGATTGTAGCAAGTTAAAAAAAAAGTAAAATAGAAATGTTTTTCTTGAGTCAGTGATGAAAGTATATGGCTGTCCGCCTCCTTATAGACAACATGATTATGACTGAGTCCGTGTCTGTGATCTGTTAAATGAAAACTACTGATACGCCAGGTCGTGTTTTCTTTGTTTATATTAATACATCAAAGTAAATATATAATACACTGACAAACAAGAAATATCGAGAGTAAAGCCGTAATCTGAGTTTTTCTCATCTGCATATATCACTGAATGTATGAACAGCTGAAAAAAAATTGTTATCTTTTATGATAATATTGAATAATCAAACCTTTTTAAATACATGGAAATAAAACTAATTCGCATGATATGTAAGTTTTGGACAAAAGAACATAATTATAACATGAATTCACCAGAAGACAAAATATATGTTTTGCATAATTATCACAGATAAATACGCGATTCTATGTATGAAAAAATATCAATGCTTTATTTCATTTAACCTCATCACATTTTGACAAATATTTTATAAATAGATACGACAAAATACTTTTGAATCAATTGTGTGTTAAAACGATATATTTGATTAAAAAATCTGATCGATGATAACATATTTAATTTTTGGCCTGAAATAATAAAAGCGATATATTTCGTTGTGCATGCTGTGGGATGGCCTGTGTAGAATGGTGTGACACCTCAGTGTGTCGTTCGGCCTGGCCCGTAGGTCGATACGACAGTGTATGAAGTAGCAATTACCGTAAGCAGATGTAACAACAGTTCACTGGTACTCGGCCTGCGACACGTGGGCCATTGTACCCGATTATTTATGCACGTAAAATGGCGAGGACGAAGATAAATGAAGTGTATAGGTATCGGACACATTACAGTAGCTCGTGAACAGTGAAGGGTACCATGTTATTGTATCGCATGAGATGTTACACTTTCCTATTGTCCACTGATGTGCAAAACATTAACGTGACACGGATCGATAAAGGCCACTATTGTGCTACTATATATCGGATAGGTAGGACTCCATACGAGCAGACATCCTCCTTGAGATGTAACCCTCCATTGGTACACACTTTCTCGCAAACCTGTAACACATTATATATATATTAGCAATCACATATAGGAATACCCTGTATCTTAGATAGTTTATTATACAAAATACGTACATGATTATATGATATAACTGGTTGTCTACGCAGATGCATATATCAAAATTACATGAACTGGACATTAAATATTCACGCTTTGTACAGATAACGAACAACTACTTGATTTTCTAACACATGCCAAATTAGCTCTCTTCACTTTTTATTTGTACATATGTTTCTGTCTTTTAAGTTTAGCACATATTCGAAATCTCTATTGAAACATGCATATATATATATACTGTTCGCTACTATATTGTACAATAACAAAGTAGGAAATAACCGTTCTAGTGTCCTATCTATGATATCTCAATATTTTTTATATATTTTTATATCTTTTTATATTTCAAATTTTATATCAGTTTTACCTGGCTACCACATCTTTCATGCACACTGTTTGAATGTGTCTGTCTGCTTTTAAATCCTGACTGACATTCATTGTATTTTTAATATTCAGGCTACTATTTTAACATTAAGTCCGTTTATACTTATCTGTTATATACTTTTATCTTTTCAGGAAATATGGTTCCGGATAGTCAGTTCATGCCAAATGATATGATGCCATCTTCAGGGTCCCCCGACTCCCTGGTACTCCACAGTCACGAGAGCCCCTTCGGACCCGGGGGTCCATCAAGGTCCCTAGCTAACTCCTTTACCTCACTGTCTCATCCTCCACAGGAAATGACGGAAGCCTGGTGATGACGTCACATCCGTTTTGATATATATGTGAACATTTTTTTTACCTTTAACCAACGTCATTCCAAGATTGACAATATGTGTGTAAAGTGATTGTTATAAACATATTATTTATAAAGTGCACAAGCTGTGTGACAGATATTGTTAAACAGTTTACATTGTGAGTGGCAAATATTTAGTATTTTCTTATGACAGACAGAACTACTGAAGTATTCTAAAATATTTTCCCGTCGGTCGGAGGATCCTTTCTACGTGTCTGATACACGTTTAGCCACAGGAAGGGCAGCTAATTTCCATACGGAGCTCTTCAATAGTTATCTGCATATCAAGGCAAGCCTGTTTATTGGTACGTGGCCACAATTGTAGAAAACACACTGAATGATCGCATAGACCGTTCATCACGAGTGGTTGGACTCCATAGCGAGGCAATCTCCATTATGTCTCGCTTCCGAATAATTAAAATTTGAGACATCAATACGAGTTTTGAGAATCGGATTCTTCATAATAATTTATTAAGTTCGTTAAAGAAACCACAGTGTTTGAACTGTCAACATTACCACAGGAGTAGGTGTCTTTTGTTACACTCCAACATATGACAATGTGATGATGTCAAAGGACACCTTTCTATTATGACGTCATGTTTTAATACACATAACTATGAAATGTGAATATTTACACTTCGGGAAACAGATAAATGATTTCCTGGTGGAAATGCTATTTATTTATCGTTGAGTTGAGATATCGTAGAATATAATGTGTCGTGATATGTTGTCCGTCAGTTCGCACTGTTGTGTGTTTTGTATATATACAATACTCCCGAATACCGGGTTTTAAGTCCCATTCACAAAACTAGTGCAATGTCCGTTTTGATTCTCTTCAATCCTCTGTTTCACATTTAAGTGTTTCACATTTTTTTTTTTTATCTTTTCACATTTCAGTAAGATTGTGTTTGAAAAAGAAAACGAAGTCGTTATAGAATTCCCCATTCCATCATATCATAGCACAATGCAGGTTACCTGCTGAGTCTACCTTACAATTAAACAACATCGCACAAGTCATTATTTTTACCAGTAATTGTTATTTCTACCAGAAGTAATACGTTATTAAATGCCATGATTTGTTGATTAAAATACAGCCACAAGTGCAAAAAATGCCATTAAAACTTGAATTAATGTTAACGTTCTATTTATTTTCATAACCAATACAAAATAAATCTTACTTTAAATGATTTTATATTTTTAAACAATGAAATTTCATACTTAATTTTATAGTAATCTTCATTGTCAAAAAATGTAAAATTTACAGGAAAAAATCACTGAAAATGGAATATGATATTAAAGTGGTCAATTTGGAGTTTTAAATTGATTTCAACAACATGAATAATGTATTACTACCCTAAAACACCTACCACACACACAATCCTTGTACCTCATTGGTTTTCCTTAGTTGCTAGAAGTGGACAGTAGACACCAGTCGTTTGTTTATGTATTACTTATATGATATATATTTCATGAAAGAAAAACAAATGTATATCGATGATTTTTATCGGTAAATAATGTAAAATATAAATTTATTCTTGTTAAATATCTTGAATACAATTGAGATCTCCACGATGAAACGTTTAAGGACGACGTAGGTTTGTTTACATTCATTGGTGACTATATTGTGTTTCATTTTTCATTGCATCCTACTCTTGATGTAGTTATCGATGAATAAAAAATTCTATCCAACGTAAACCAGTGTGTTTGAATTGTTGTCATTGTGTTTCCCTGTTGGCAGATGTGCCCAGCATCCGAGTCATCTGAAGCCATGATTTAGGTTCAATATCCCGTGTGACGTATGACGGAGACAACTTGTTTAAAGTTTTGTTAGTCTTACAGTGGCAAAATCGACAATCAACTGCTATCTAAATAGTCTAAGACAAACCAAATTCATTTGTATTGTGAAAACAGCATAGTTATATTATTTTGGAGGGTTATTATTTTTGTAAGAACAAACACTAAAGCGGCTTTGCTTATTGTTATTAATGCGGAAGAAATGCTGTGTTAAAATTAAGTTGGATTTTAAAATAAACATTGACACAACTGTAGACAATATGTTGATACGTTTCCGTATACTTGTGCGTGGATATCGTCACATGTTACTTGTTAATAAACTCAATATGACAATGAAATGACACGTGTACGACCCTGGGACGTGTAAGGGCATCGCCATTGTGCGTAACATGAGCAAGGCAGCAGAGACAGTATTTGTACAACATGTAAGAGTAATATGATAAAGTTACTCAAATCCACATTGGAAAAGTATTGCCTGAAATTGAAATTAAAAAAACATCCAGTAACCACAATGTTATTTAAAATGGGCAAACATAAAAATTCAGAGTCGAGTACTGACAATCGAAACGAAAAACACAAAACAGACATAATGCATTATCTTAAAGTGACCTCGTATCTGACATAATTTCGATAATTAACCTCAATAACATACTATGGTAACTTTCTGACTTCTTGATCAAAACGAAAAGAATATATGCATGTTATGGATTTAAACTTACATAGTGATAATATATTGCAACATAATAATATTTCTATTCAGTATTACAGTATGGCGGACTAAGTACACATGCAGCTTTTTAGTTTTATTTACTTTCTTACTACCGGTGGCTATACGTTTTCATTGTTAAGCTATTTTAAATCTTATCGAATGATGTCATCTTGTTAAACTTCTTTTTTCTTCTATCATCTACTATCAGCGGCATTTGCAGTGCTCGTACTGTCTGTTGTCCCACCTGATAAAAAAAAAGACGATGTTGGTCGAACCTCGGATTTGTCGAATACCATGTATTCCTCGAACTATTGATCTGGACCCTACGGGTTCGAGTTAGCGGGGTTTTACTGTATGTTCTTTGTTGCTCTATTTTTCATATTATTCGCAGCGCTTTCGACATCTGTTTTCTTTATTTTGACCTTGGTACCAAAGATTAAACTTCCATGGACGACATAACTATGTGGTGTACATGTAGTTAAACATTTACTTTGTTTGGCTTCATCCATCGACTTACCAAATCTTTTAATATGATGAACAATGGTAGGTCAGAGCTGATCGGATTATGGAATACTAAAATAATGACATGAAATCTCGGAACTACTGATTATCAAGAAGTTCACTGAAACTCACTCTCCAAAAACATTATAAATTGTTTTGATTGGTTTATACGCTGACAGAAATGTTCAGTCTAATCTAACGGCAGTGTCCCTTTAGTTTGTGCTCCCATAAACTAAAATAAATACTTTTCCGGTTCTCTTACCCTTATACAGTGTTAAGGAATTGTTAATTAATACTGCAATCAATCGATTCCGTATTTCGTTTCATCCGGTATTTGCTTTAACGAGGTTATACTCTAGTGAACTGCATGTATCCACACACGTTTCCTCGGGTAGTCGTATGGATAGATATAGAGAAATCAAGTATAAAACTGCTTCATTTTGTAGAAAATGTAGAGCTTGTAAGTTTTTCTGTCTTTCATGTTCGTCCTTACGATCCGATTTCCAATTATGAGTCAATTTAAGACTTGGTTACTATGTTGTTGGTAAACTATTTCCATGATTTGACGGGCGGCATCATGACAGGGGCCATATGTGGTACCAGAAGCACCTATTACTTCGTTGATTCCGGTTTTGTCTCCAGCTTTATGTGGATGCCTTTCTTTCCTTCTGATGCATTCTCGGCCCTGTTATCCTTTGTTGAATACACTCTAAATGCCTTTGATGTCTTTGTGTATCGACACTGTACAAGAAAGAAAGTATACTGGTTTGATCTCTCTAAATAAAAAAATAAAATATATCTATTAATAGAAATTTATTTAATACCAGATAGTGTAACAGGAAGTATGGAGAGGAATACTACAGAGAGGGTCATGTCGAAGAACAAAATATTGAATATACTAATAGTATTGATTAATCCAGGTGAACACACTGACTAGATGATCTGCTGTTATATACAGCTATAACTCAAACACGAGAAAGATGTTAAATGGTTATATAACTAAAATAAAACATCAAAGATACAAAAACATCTGAAAGAGACGAGAATGTAACAAAGAAATCCATTTATCTTTTCCTATGGAGCTAGAATATCTAAATTCACAGTTCGTAACGTCCTCTTATGAGAATTGACATGCACTTGATTTATGGCAAACGGTAGACAGACAGACAAATATTATGATAAATAGCATTACATCTGTTTATAGTATTGAGCAGAATACATTATCACACATGGGCAAGGCGATGTAAGAGTCGTCGATACGGTATAGTTTTCATATCTTATATAACAATGATAGTACCGAGTGAGGACTTATCCCATTATTACTGAAGGTAGACTAATGACATAGGTCCCAGGTGTTCCCTGTGCCAGGTGTTCTCGCCCTTAGAATTACATCGCTTATTAAAAAGTATTGTTTTGATGCTGTCAATCATGATTAATATAATTTTGATGATGTTAGAAAGGAACAGGATGTCATGAACATATCGAATCTGATTAGTACTTTAATCACAGAACAAGTGATTTATGGTAAATTCATCGTCCTACAGACATTAAAGTTCGAGGGATCTATACGGGACAAGTTACCCAAACATAATCACGTTAACGTATTCCATTTACCTTCATTAATGTACGATAACACGAAAGGGGAAATATCGTAGTTCATACATAACGTACACACATTATCAACATACACACATTACCATGCCTCCTATCTGTTCTGTAAAAATCGATGTGTTGTAATAATCTTTAAAGACAAAATTTGGAAGGTTGCAGATCGTGCGGCATAACTTTTTGTTGCACATAACCGTATCTAGTTATCTGGCAGATTGCGGTACTTTTATATGTATCCTACTTTGACCTTAATATAAACATATTTCTGCGATATAATTTACCTTTCTCATTTATTCTATGTTTGAATGTTTATAGATTAAGGTACTATAACAATAACAGACATACCAATGACTATGCAATTGTTTAATTCAAGTCAAGCACACATAACATGGCCTAATGTTGAAGTATTGTTCCCTGTGGGATTAACTACCCTGCCTCTTACTTTGGAGACGTGACATTACTTGGATTTGATCTAGATTTTCATTGCAGATGTCGTTGATAAATCAGACGACGACTTCTTGCCAAAACAGCTGGTCATATTTTCCTTATTGTTTGTTCAAGGGTAGCAGTTTTCCTTTGTTCATACAATGCTTCAGTTTCATAGACATTTAGTTGTTTGGTTTTGGGGTGCAAATTGCGGTTTTGTTTAAAATTCGATATTCTTTATGTTGATTTATCGATCTACGTTAAGTGAATATCGTGTTATAGTTTATGTCTGCTTAGCCCAATAGTTCAATAGTTCAAACCTTTGTCAATCATCGCCTTATATTTTCAGATAGAAATAATATAATTTAATAATATACGAATAGAATAATAGAATTATTGTTTTATAACAGTTCATACTTTTCCCTTCATTTAGCTAGTCCATTTTAAAATGAATATATATTTATCTTTGATAATGAAGAATACTGTCGTTTAAATAATACAAATTGCAAATTTAATTTGAGTTCCATGTAAGCTAATAAGGTCTTGGATAACTGTTTAAAGACCCCCCCCCCCCCCCCCCTTGTCCTCTTTTGTTGACACCGTATGCTATTTATATGTTTTTCTCTCCCTTGCTGTCTGCATTACAAAGGGTCTAAATATCGTAATCATGTTTGTCTCATAATCAACTGTTTTGGTTCTATTGTTTGCACACTGCGACATATGATACAGTATTACCTGAGGTTTTCCTACATTGTATTTGTTTTAACTATTACACATCAAACTATATGACATGATTTAATGACTTAACAATCAAATCATCCTCAGTGGCAATTAGTGTATATTTCGAAGCGTAATTCATAACACATATATCCTATATAATAGAGTAGATTGTTGTCCTGTTTTGTCGTAGCATACAATGACTTTTAACTGAAATATACCTACTTTTCATTGATTTGATAGATTACAACA